ACTAGTGTATTAATGAGGGCGATTAATGATCGAGATATTTTAACGTGCGAGCGAAGCGAGCGCGTTAATGTTCATCATACAAGTTGGTTACAAAATTTTTCCGTCGACTATATTTCTTATTTCTCCTGCAATGAAGAAAACTTGGTTCGCGAATTCATCATTCATCCGGAAACTGCTAAGAATCACCCAGTAGCCTTTTGTTACTAACATTAGTGACATTTGACATTTGTCGAAATGATCAACATAGAAAATAAATTCCTTTTGTTAGAAAACAGGGATTAAAATCATGTCAGAAACTTGGAAAGGCGTAAACGGAAAATCTTCGATGAAATCCATATTTTCGATTTAAATGCAGATTCCGTAAGTTATAGCATATATAACAATGAATGCACGCGGTGTATGTTTGGTTGCCTAAAAAACAATCATGCATTAATAGACAAATTAATCATTAATAGAACGATTTCATGAACATTAAACTTACTCGTTAATACGAGGTCGACGGAAAATAATGTTTTTGTATGTTTATTTCGGTATATGTACATTCGTATCCAGTTGTTTTAATTCAAATCGCTTCAGGAACAATAATTTGATGAAAATATGATGAACAGTTATCGGTTTCAATTCCCAATAGTATTGAACCAAGTTTGCAGCTTCCAAAGACATAAGCGGGTTCCAGAAGGAAAAATCAATCCGCGTTTCTTTTTTTAAGCTGGATTCCCGACAATTTGAGTCTAATTTCATCATTGTATGTACGTCCGAAATATCCCAAGATATAGGACTTTCAAAACTTTCGAAAGATGATAATTGTAGTTTTGGCCGCCCTCTACTGAGCAAAATATCGGCTTTAATTCTCATCCGACGAGGAAGTTTATGAATCATAATATAGTTTCAGTGTATTTATATAGCTCCAATTTATGCTCATAATCAAGCATATGTATGCCCAATAGCAGCATATTGATGCATGTTATCTTCAAGAAACTAGTATAGCCAAAGATTGGATTTTTCAAGAAATGAAACTTGATGACTATCGGAAATATCCGTGGAATCACATATCACAGGTGAGTCAAATGTCAAACCTTCAGTGTATCAGGACCATTTTGGGAAAATCTACATGTGTTTGAAATATTATTTTTCACTTGCAGCTTAGAAAGGAAGACGCTCTATTTTGCGACAGGCTATAAGAAGACCTTTCGAATGATAATCTCAACCTCACAATATAATTGATATGCTAGAGACATTTTGAAGAAAGTGATTTCAATAATACGAATGGTTGAACAAGGAAAAATGATCTGCTGCATTGTCAACACAGCACCAAAATGCTGCCTCTATCTATACTAATATATACAGGGAGATGTAATAGGGAGGTTGTTTAAGAAGTGAATTAAACCCTGCATGCATTATGCGAAGTTAATGGTTTTTGAGATATTTGAATTTTTCTGTTTTTTTCTAAACGGTAGACTTCAAGGGTTTGATAGTTAGGTTCCCGAAAATCTGTATAGTACATGTTTTCAACCTTTCAACTAGAATACATTATCAACACTATGATCTTATGTTTGGAATGCAAAAATTCCAGACATGCTTTACATCATAGATAAATTGTAAAAACTTCTGTCACACACACTTATTTTTCTGTGATCTGTGTTCTGTGCATGGAACATGAAACGACTACGGCTATATTCATTTCAGTCGGACACACGTACAGAAACTCAGAACACTAACATGAGATGGTACAATTCACATATATTATGAGTTTATTTGGCTTCCCCTTTTTTCCATTTCTATATTTTTTCAAGAAATATTCCCATTATATGAAGAAATTGATCGTTCGGCAGTTCCTAAATGCAGTTTTGTCTTCAATTATTGTTTAACCGTAGTCAAGAGAGCGATGCACGAATATCAATTAATCAAAACACAAAAGGACGAATACATGCCAGCGAGTTAATTATACTCAGATACAAAATTAACTTCTGTGGGATTCCGTAATTAGAGAATACGTTTTTACTACACGTTTAATTAACTTTCAATTAGTAACAAACAATCGATAAACAGAACTGAAAGGAAATTGCCGGCATCATATATGTATAGGATTTTCAATGTATGTTTTGAGGTAAGATATTATTGTAGCCAGTCGAACGGCACAAAAAAATATCAAATATACGCGACGGGTAATCAAATATTCAACTGGACTACTATTGTACTATTTCACTTCCCGAAGAGTTTAGGAGTGAACACTCATGCATATACACGTGTGGCAAGAATAATTTTCCTATAGAGAAACCTTCGAGCGAGTTCATTTTGCGACCAGACCACGCCCGATCGAAGGGACTATCGTTTGCCACACGTGCCAGAATTGAGTCGGTGGAGCAATTACGGTTATTAATCGTTTCTCTATAAGAAAATTATTCCTGCCAGACGTGTGTACAAAAAAAGCTGCCCTACCTTTGTTCAACAGCATCTGCTGCAGCAGCAATATCAACATGAGCAGCATCAACAGCAACATCAGCGGCATCAGCAGCAGTCAGCATCATCAGTATAGCAACAGCAGATTCCGCTTGTAAATTACCATTCATCATCATTCAGCCAATTATTCACCCCAACACGGCATGCACATGACAAAAATTTCATCTCAACAAATATACTTTTTCCTGTCACATTTCATCTCCGTTGACAGGTTTACAAAATATCACTCCTTTTAAATTACTTTTTTCTTAAATATTACGGTAAAAAAGTGAGAATCTTTTACCCAGATATACAGGGTGGGCCACCAGTAACGCCTCGGTCTCTAAAAGGCTAACCACCCATCTTCTTGGAATTCTACCTCTCTAGGAAGTTGCATGTTAACATAGGCTACCATTTGAAATTATTTCAAAACATACAGGGTGTCCCCAAAAACCGCAAAGCACTAAAGTTATACTTTTTGTAATTGAACACCCTATATAAATTATTCATATTTTTTTCATGTATAATAAATAACTATTTGCTATTTGTTACATACACAGTTAAGTCAGTATCACAGAAAAAATGTCACCTGACCTCAAACACACAGGAAAACAAGTAGACCATAATTTATGAGTACGTTAAAATATATAAACTTGTGTCCGAAAATGTTTCAATTTCGAAGATAAAGGGTACTGAAACACAGAAAACAAATCATTTTTCGATAAACATTTCTGACCTACCACATACTCAGTTTTTGTAATGTTCTCAGCAACTTCACTCAGCGCCCTAAGAGGTAAGTAAAATGCATCGATATGGAAAATTGTAAATATCTCAAAAACGATCAGCTCCAGCGTTGTTGAGGAAGTGTACCTTCTTAGCTTGGAAGAGGTGTGGAATTGAGGTTTTTTCATGAAAAGTACCAAAAGTTTACTGTCAAAAAAGTTAGGGCAATAAGAAATAAATAATGACAGCGTACGCAGCGCCCTGTAGATGCTACATGAAAATTAATACGAAATCATGATTTCCAACATCAAAAAAACCTCGGGTACCAAATTTCGTGGAAATTACTCTTTTTTTGCAAAAGTTATTTTCAAAATGCGAGCACAAATATTCAATTTCAACACCCTGTATCTAAGAAATGAAGCATTTCCGAACACAAGTTTATATATAATTTTTTTTTTCTTCAAATTGTCTCAGGAATAATCAAATCAAAGTAAAAAAGAAGGTAAGTAAAGTCTATCCAAAGTCAATTGCAGCATCTACCACACTTCGCGGCGTCGGCGGCGTTGAAGTTCCCTTTGAAGTGAGTGATGGATGAAATACACCCCAAATCCAAGCATCGATCATCCATATGGGATGCTACTATCAATTGAAGAGATGCTGTACCAGTTAACCTTTTTTTTTTAATATTCAAGAATCAGCCTTCTATCATTCAAACATTCAAAGGACTCACCTGATGCGGACAGACCTGATGTATGTATGGATGAAGAACCTGTAAAAATTATACAGGGTTTGAATTTAAAATCTGCTTTGAATGGCATCGAAGCACCTTCCTAATGACTCATAAAAAAATGATTGACAGCTCTGTGCGTAGCTACAATTAGATCTATGCTACACTGCAATCATTGAGCTTATGGAAACTTTGAACGCGAATATCTCCGTAATTATTTGAAATAACCCTATCGATCCCGGTATCGTTGAGCTCGTTATGATAATCCCTAACCGATTATCGAGCCGATTATGGAATGAAATACATCAGGGTGTGCCGTTTGAAAATGAAAAGTGAAGAGTAGCTACCACAGGGCTGTCGAATATAAACCAGTTTTTATGAGTCATTTGGAAGGTGCTTTGATGCCATTTGAACCAATTTTTTTTATTTTCTGATTATCTTGTCAAATAAGCGAGATATTGAATGTATACGATAACTTGGGACACCGGTACACTGCTATATTTATAGTATCGGTATCAATAATTACACCAGTCAAAAGTTTTTAATGCCTACCAAAATGCCATGAATTTTGCCCCAGTCACGAATTTTATGGATACTGACCCAGCGAAGAATTGATCTATTTTTTCGCTATTTTTTCCAATTTTTTTTTAAGCCGTGTGATTTGCTTGTGATGTAGGTACATCAACTACCGGTATGTACTACTGTGGGCGGTACCTACCTAACAATTAATACTCTTTTGAATTCCGTTACCAAAGACACTATCGCCAGCCACTCACTGTGAGAAACACATGTTTATTAGCAACAATTTGCAAACATTTCATCTAGATTGACGAAAATAAAGTAGAAATTAGAAATCTTTTTTGCAGAAATAGAGAAAGAGAAAACTGAGAAACTAAAGAGCCATTTTTTCAACTATCTACTAAAAAAAACAGAATCATAAAACATGAAACATATATAACTGGAGAATCGGATATCAATCTGTGAAATTTGAATACAATCGAAGAACAAAAATAGTCCCATGCTCTTCGTCTGCTTCTTATTCTATTTATTTCGAGCCCGAGGTGACACTGGTTACTTGTTACGTTGACGTAACAGTTACTTTGCTTCCTAACCTCACATATTTTATGTTTTGGTAATGACGAAATAAGAGAAAAAACATAAAATCAGAAAGTAATCAAATTTTAAATTGTTTCCCATCTACTACAAAATATGGCAAATCTCACTTGTAAACTAGGCGTTTTGAGTAGGCCCGATGGTTCAGCAATGTTATGTGAAGGTCTGTTTTCTTTGATGTACCCCATAGAAAAATAAAAACTGCTATTTCAGATGAAACTACAGTCCTTGTGGGAATATATGGTCCAGTAGAAGTCAAAATGCAAAAAATACAAATCGACAAAGCTTCTGTTGAATGCCATTATCGACCCAAGAGTGGAGCACCAGGTAATTAAAATCAATAGCTCCCTATCCATATTTCAATAATTATTTCATGTATAGCTGTTGGTGACAGATTGTTTGAATCACTCATAAGGAATATATGTGAGGCATCTCTGGTAGCATCTCTCTATCCCCGTTCTGCAGTTCTGGTAACAATTCAAGAAATGCACAACAGTGGATCTGTAAGTATTTTATTGAAAATCATATAAATATAATTTATCAGTGTAAGTGAAAAATTTTCTAGTTAGTATCCTGTGCAGTGAATGCAGCCTGCATGGCATGCCTAAATTCAGGGATTGATATGAAATGTATGTTTGCTGCAGTTACCTGTTTCCTTACCAAAGCAGAAGAACTCACTCTAACACCCCCCAGAAATGAAAAAGATATCAAGGCACTGTTTGTATTTGTTTTTGACAACAACAAAGGAAGAATTATAGCCTCTCACACAGAAGGATGCTTCTCACAGGAACAATTTGAAGAAGCAATAAGTTTGAGCAAGGAAGAAAGCAATAATGTGTTTATATTTTATAAAAAGACATTGTTGGATGAGAAGTAGTAAAAATATTGTTGGTTTTTTTTATACTTCATTCATTTCAACTTACTACATTCTCTTCTGCTTGAGACTTGTCACATTCACATTTTTACAAGAAATTTCATCAGCTTTTTATTATTCTTCTACCAGTATTATCACTATCAAAACTTTGATATTTGGAGTCAAAAACAAAGTAAGAAATAGCAGGTTAAAAAAATAATTTTATTAGTTACTCCACTTGCATATAAAATTAAGTATTACTTATAAATATTAAACTGTTGTCTGAACAACTGTTTTTTCAGCTAATGGCATTAAATGATAAGACAGCCACCAAGACAAGACAGGTTGCACCCCAGCCAAAAACAGTAGAAAATACACCCTCCTTTTGTGTCCCAAAGTATTTTGCTGCCCTCCATAATAGCTGGATTCTTGAGCAGGCTCTGCCAACACTTGAACCTTGAGACTCCTTATCAAGAAAAATGCCAGAGCAAAACTAGTATACAAGAGAGTACAATAATATCCTGTACTGCCAGCTATGATGCTAATGCTGGCACTCAGTATTATCCCAACAAACTTATAGCCAGAGTAGGCCAGCAAATCTAATGTACGCAAGCTAGTTTCTACTTGGATGATATAGAGAGTACAGCTATAAACAGCTAGTTCTACAATACACCAAGCCAGAGCTGATGATGCCAAGATTCCTATTTGTTCTGGGCTGAACCTCTCCTGCATTCCTAGAACCAGGCCTGCCACTAGAACATAGGTTGTGTATGCCATTGTGGGGATGTACAAGTCAGGAGCATTGATTTCAAATCTGGGCTGAACTGGGCCATCCTGTTCATACTTTACTGACCAATCCTTAATGAAAATTATATTTAGAAAGTACCTGTATTCATAAGAACTGTATCTTACCTTGTGGGTGAATGGAAAAAATAGCAGCAGCAATTTTGAGAGAACATATTTGGTGTCAACAGCAAAATAGTACTTCAACTTTGAAACAGGGATATATCTCTCAACTTCTTTTTTCAACATGGTCTTACCAGCACCAGCCAACTACAAAAAAATATTAGCACAATAAAACTAGTTAATTTCAACTGGTGAACCTGTTGTCCATATTGTAAAGCCATGTCCTGCACAACAGGTTGAGTTAAAACACCCAAATTTGGTGTAGCTGGAGCCATTGGATTAACTTGTGGGTATGGGGCCTGATTGTAGTTGAAAGACTGAGGTTGAGGGACATTTGGGGTGCTCGTGAAAGTTTGGGCATTACCGAAACCTGATGAAAAAAATAAATCGGTTTTCCTAATGATCAACTAATATTTAAAAGGGATATGAAATTACCTTGTTGAAATGAATTGTTATCCAGATTTGGGTACAAGTTCTGTGGTGGTTGCAATGGTTGGTCGTAAGGATTGTAGCCCATGGAGTTGACATCGCTTACCCTTTTGGGCTTCCTTCCAAGGGCTAAAAAATGGATTGAGGATAGTACATTAATATGGAGATTGTGATCGATTCCTCGGATTTCACTTACGTTGTCGTCCCGCACTATTCGCATTATAATTCATTTTGAATAGTTACCACAATGAATCATTGAAATTTTCAATATTCTTGATTATTTTGGTATTTTTAACATACATTCAATTCGCATTTTTTTCTTGCATCTACACGTCCGAATGAAATGTCAAATTTCCCAAAATGCGCTTCTTCTTCTGTTTTTAAAGGACATTCAGCCTTTTTCTTTCTTCTTATTAGAGATAACTGTCAAGTTTATCTCATCTTCTTCTTTATTATTTTTTTCGTCCGAGGGCTCTTTTGGACCATAGGCAAAAGTTGACGTGTCTGGTCTAGTGGTCCCCTGCTCCTGTGGTAATCAACGACATCAACACTCAACACGCCATAGTCATCAATGGTCAATTTGGTCATCAACATTATCAACAATAAATGATTGAACATCAAAAATAAACAGCTTTCACAAAAACTTTTTATTTATTTTTTTTATTCAAATAAAAACGGCTAATGTCGACATTTAAAAAATATAAAAAACTAAAACATTACAGTTACAAGATGTTAAAAAACCTAACTATTAAATCTCTAAAATTTTTGGGTTTACAAAATGAAAATCATAACACCAATCATGGTTTACTCATATTCCTCATCTTCATAAGCAGCTCAAACCTCCTATTTGTCCGCACATTCTTTATGTCAGTCCTTCTCTTGTCAACGGTACTAGTCATGACTTTGCTTTTGTTAATGAAAGCCTTAACCTGCTCTTCTCTTGTTGTGTTCTTCACTTCTGCTCCTCCCTTGACACCCAGCTTTGTGAAACCTTTTTTCTCTGCCACAATCTTGTTTCTGAGTTTGGGTATCAAGGATTTCATCTTGGGAAGTTCCACGGATTTCGGCAGGACTTTGGGGTTTGAAGTAGACGGGGTGATAGCTTTCACCTTGGTGACCAAGTTAGAAGCCAGTTTTGGGGTGGTCTGTGTTTGGATGGTGGCCATCCTAGGGCTGTACTGCAGCAGTTTCTTGTTTTTGTTTGGAGATTTTCGTTTGCAGCTAGTCTGGAGTGCAGGCTTCTGGCCGGACAACAGTAGCTTTGCTCTAGATGCCTTACGTTCGCTCATTTCCTGCAGATTCTCCATCTTGTCATAAGCTCTCTTGTGGATTTCAGCAAAGTTTGGCATTTTTTTGGGCTTTGGAACTACTCTGGTAGTGTTTTTGCTCTCATCTATTTTTACTCTGCTTTCTTTAAGCAATGCTGCTCTGAGTAAATGCTTTTTGTCTGCAGGTAGAGGAGTACTGGTACCTGAAGGTGGTGTTTTTGCTACTTTGGACCTTGAAGTTTCAGATTTTTCAGCCAACATTGCCTTGTTTCCTTTTGGAGTCTCTTTTTCTTGTATTGAAGCATCTTTCATCTCTCTGGTCCATGGTGATATGATGTTCTGCAGGTGTCCTGAGTTGTCTAGAATAGCTACTCCCAAAGATTTGTTCCAAGTTCTTCGTTTTCTTTTCAAACTGCTATCAGTTTTTTTGGTAGCAACTTTGTCTTTTGTGAATGTTTGGTCGGCATCTAAAGGTGAAGTTGCATCTTTGGTTTCATCCATGTCCTCACACATTCTTTCATATCTAGTAAAAGTGGATTCCCTAGTCAGTTTTTTTGCAGCAGATTCTATAATAACCACAGAATCTTGGGTTTTATCTTTCTCAGGTGATGCTGTTGGTGTTACCAAGTTGACTATAGAAATTTTCTGCTGATAACTCTTTGGTTTTATGGATGCAGTAGTGATGTTCTTATCAATTTTAATTTTTTCAGGTCCAAATATTGGGGAAGGCATTTCAAATGTACTTCTTCTCCCACTTACAGCCTTAATGGCACTAGGAATCTCATTTTGATTCTGTTTATTGCCATTCATTTTCTCAACTGATTTTTCAGTAGGAAGAACATTTTTTCCACTTGAGGGAGTTTTGTTCAGGGTCTGATTATAGTCAATAAAATCTGATCTATCATTATTAGACTTCTGGGTAGAGTTTTCATTGATAAAAAGAGAATTTTTGACATCAGATACATTATTTGGTGTTTCTGCAATGGTCTCTGTCATAGGGATATCTGTTACTGGTTCATTTTCTGAGAAACTTGGTGAAGACCAGTCTAAAATTCCTTTGTGAGCATCTGTTTTATCTGGAGATAAATCATCTACATCAACATTTAAATGCAACCTGCTGGCAATTTTATTGACATGAGGTGATTTTCTATAACTCTTGAAGGAATTTTCACTTCTGATAGACTCTTCAATGGAGCCAATGGACTTTAGAGTTGAAATATCAATTGTATTATTTTGGATGTCAAAAGTGCTTCTTTTATTGCTTACACTATTTTTAGAGGGAGAAATGAATCTGACAGATTTTCTGCATTGTTCAATAGATGCTTTGTTGTGATTGAGTTCCTGATCATCTTCCAAGTCATCTTCTACAGTGGCTATATGTTCTACTAGAATATTGCCAGAGGGTATTTCACAGTTTGCAATATCCATACTACTTTTTCTTGGAAGACTTGATTTTTTTCTCAAAATAGATTGTCTCACAATCTTTATTTCATTAGAACTTAGTTTACACTTTGGTTTCTCCATGTCATGCTCAATTTCTTCATTATTTTCTGGATTTAGTTCACTTGTCAGTTTGGTTTCAATAGTTTCCACTTGTTTCTTCCCTTTCTTTATTTTTCTTTTACGTTTAAACACCACTTCAGCATCTATAGTGTGTTCTGTTTCAGTTGCAGGATCACTTTGCTCACTTGTACTACTATGGCACTTTTTCTTTCTTTTGGATTTTCCAGTCAGTGTTTCTGGGATCTCAATCTGTGGTAAATCTGTCTCAACTTTATGTTTTCTGGTCCTCTTGGATTTTTTCAGTTTTATCCCATCACTAGGTGAATTACCATTGAGCATTACATTTTCCTTGTTTGTGGGGGCATCCATGTACAACTGTATTTTTGGTAAAAACTGTATGTTTGCCTGTTTTCTCGTTTTCATACTCTTTATGGACTCGCCATTTGAGGGTACTGAGAATATGCTTTTCCTGTCCAAATCATTGAACTCTTGGGTACATCTTACTTTTCTAGGTCTCCTTTTGATTCGTTTGACTGATTCATGACTTATAGAAGACATACTAGAATATTCGTTACTCATATCTTCGGAAATAACTAAAACATTAGTCCATATATGTAAATAAATCTACATTATTCGATTTTTGAACTTACTTTTCCAGAACTCATTTGAAATTATCCAACAAACAAATAACAATGCAAAACGGATAACCTATTCAGCAGGAAACTCCCTGACCTGACAAATGAATGACATATGTCAATATTCAACAGTTGACAAAGAATATGATTGGTAGATGAGGAATATTGAAAAGAGAGAGCGAAACCGTTACAATGAGTTAAACGAAGACAGCATATTCAAACATTTGAATTTAATTGGCTATATTGTTTCCAGGACCGTACTTTGATTCACAGCTTCAGTAATAATGAATTTGAATTTTGAGAAGTATTAAAATGGGTGGGGGATGGATATTCAATAATCAATGAAATAATAATGTATATCTCAATTTTTTTAATAACATTCAATCATCGATATAAAAATACCATAGATACAAAAAAACCTATTATTTAGGACTTCAGGATTTTACATTTTTTTTATTTTCATTTGTACTTACTACCTATATTTGTTTATAATTATTACTCAAATATGACCACCTTCTTTTAATTTTCCTACAAGAGCATCTACATCAGGCAAAATAGCACCAGCTTGTCTAGTTGGTGGATCTTCAACACTGATTACTTGAATCCTAGGAGAAACATCCACACCCAAATCTTTTGGAGATAGTTTTTGTATTGGCTTCTTTTTTGCTTTCTAAAATCATGAAGAATAAGATGTATGATTTGTTGAACATATTTGTGAGCCTAAAATATCATACCATTATATTTGGAAGAGTAGCATATCTTGGTTCATTCAATCTCAAATCTGCACTTATTACAGCTGGAAGCTTACATTTTATTGTTTCTAAGCCACCATCAACTTCCCTGGTAACAGTTAATTCATTATCACCTTTCTCAATCTGAAATATAAGCTTTATGTAGATTCACCCCAAGGTACCATCAACAAATTCTCACTTTAGAAGCATAAGTAGCTTGTGGCCAATCTAGAACAGCAGCTGTCATCTGGGCAGTTTGGTTACAATCATCATCAATGGCCTAGTAAATAAGAGGAATTCAATCATATGAAGTTTGAACTGAATATTACAAACTCTACTATATACTTGTTCAAATAATACCTGTTTTCCAACTATCACCATATCAGCTTTCTCATTCTGGGCAATTTTGGCCAAGATTTTTGATATGTGTATAGGCTGCAAAGTCTCATACTCAGCTGGTGACACTTCAACATGAATCCCTTTGTCCACTCCCATTGCCAGGGCTGTTCGCAGAACTTCTTGTGCCTGAGGAGGCCCACATGAGACTGCTATTATTTCAGCTGCTACTTTTTTCTCCTTCATACGAACTGCCTCTTCCACTGCTATCTCATCAAAGGGATTCATGGAGTGCTTCACGCCATCAGTGACTACTCCCGTTTTATCAGGTTTAACACGAATCTGAAAATTTGGTAATTGGTTCAACCATGGATTAACCTTTGCACTTCTTTTAAAAAACTGATATCAAGAATATTGTATTTACCTTGACTGCATAATCGATCACTCTTTTTACACCTACTAGTACACGAGCCATCATTTTTCAAGTAAAAATCAGAGGGAACTATATTGTTTAGAGAAAATGATTAGTGTTTGAACCTTGTCTTGTGGTCAATCAAAACTATCAAAAACAAAAATGATAACCTTTTCCCCTTCCAAATTTAAAAAACAACAAGAGTGAAGTGACGTGTAGTCATGACATTCGTGACACTGACATTGCGACGCTGTACGATGCTGTAAGGTGCTTTAGCGTTATGGATCTTAGATCTAGATGGACAAAACACCAACCAACTAAATCTACTTATGATATATGTGAGCAATGGACTCATATGGATATGATCTATGAAGCCTAAATTGGTAGTTACCCAACATAAAACGAAGAAATTTATCTCGGCCTACCTAGGTACTACAGTACTACTCACCTTTGTGAGCAATGGGCATATATGATCAAGATCTATGAAAGCTAACGTACGGAGATCTCTGACCCATCACAATGAGAAGAAGATGGTGATTTCTGTGCAGTAGGTTATGTTAATGTTGTGACAGCTGGAATGTTTTCTAAAATATGATAGAATTATGTGAAAATCTGAAAATATAGTTTG